CATGTATTATGCTTAATATTGTGCTAAGAGATAAAGAGGTACAGATACCCCATAGGACACGGCTTTATTCTAAATGGCCTTACTATCTCGTTAGGAGATAATGCTAACAACCAACTAAGGTTACCAGGCAGTTGATCATGTGCTGTATTGTGTGACTCAGACTTTTCCGGTTATAGATATCTGGAAATGGGGCTAGCGAATCAACACTTCATTCACCGAATATTTATTGAGAACCTATTATGATTCTCTGTGAATAAGAGTGTATGTTTGGAATTTACAATCTAATAAAGGGAGACAAGGGAAATTAATACAAGAATGGATTAAACAGATGGGCACAGTGGCTCATGCCAGTAATCCCAGCACTTTGGGAGGTTGAGGCTGGCAGATTGCTTGAGCTTAGGAGTTTGAGACGAGTCTGGGCAACATAGCAAAACCCGTCTCTACCAAGGGGGGGAGAAAGAATAGATTAAGTGCTAAACTAGGATTTGTACTGTAGTTGATAAAAGGTTATTACTGTAACTTCTGAATGAAAGGAGAAGTGGGATTGTGAATGATTTTAAAGTAAAGGTATTATTTAGGCTGAACCTTGAAATAGAAGTAGGACTTTTTTTTTTTTTTTGAGACAGAGACTCAAAAAAAAAAAAAAAAAAAAAAAAAAAAAAAAAAAAAGAGTCTCACTATATCACCCAGGTCAGAGTGTAGTGGTGTGATCTTGGCTTACTGCAACCTCCAACTCCCAGGTTCAAGTGATTCTCTGCCTCAGCCTCCCAAGTATCTGGGATTACAAGCAGGTACCACCACACCCAGCTAATTTTTGTGTTTTTAGTAGAGATGGGGTTTCACCATGTTGGCCCAGCTGATCTCAAACGCCTGACCTCAGCTGAGCAGCCCACCTCGGCTTCCCAAAGTGGCAGGATTACAGGCATGAGCCACTGTGCCCTGAAAAGTAGGACTTTGAAAATGTTGATTAAGTCAAACTCTGTAAAATGTTTGAAGAGATTTATTTTGAGCCAAATGTGAATGACCAATGGCCTGTGACACAGCCCCAGATCCTGAGAACATATGCCTAAGGTGGTCAGGCTGTTACCAGAAAAGGGTACATGCCAGGAGAGGCTTCTTGGATCTCCCACAAGAAAGAATTTGGGTGAGTCCACAGAGTAAAGTGAAAGCAAGTTTATTAAGAAAGTAAAAGAATAAAGAATGGCTACTCATAGGCAGAGCAGCAGCTTAGGCTGCTCACTGACTATACTTATACTTATTTCCTGATTACATGCTAAATAAGGGGTGGATTATTCATGAGTTTTCCGAGAAAGGAGCGGGCAATTCCTGGAACTGAGGGTTCCTCCCCTTTTTAGACCATATAAGGTAACTTCCTGACATTGCCATGGCATTTGTAAACTGTCAGTGGTGCTGGGGGGTTTGTCTTTTAGCATGCTAATACAAAATAATTAGCAAATAATGAGCAGTGAGGATGACCAGAGGTCACCTTCAGCACCATCTTGGTTTTGGTGGGATTTGGCTGGCTTTTTTACTGCTAGCAGTTTTATCAGCAAGGTCTTTGTGACCTGTTGTCTTGTGCCAATCTCCTATCTCATCCTGTGACTAAGAATGCCCAACCTCCTGGAGATGCAGCCAGTAGGTCTCAGCCTCATTTTACCCAGCCCCTATTCAAGATGGAGTTGCTCTGGTTCATATGCCTCTGACAAGGCTGCAGTGTGGTTTTATATACTTTAGGGAGACATGAGACATAAGGCATTCATCAAAACACGTAAGATGTACACTGGGTTGGTCTGGAAAGGCGGGACACCTGGAAGCTGAGACTCCAGGGTCACAGGCAATAAAGATTATCAGGCTGGCATGGTAGCTCACACCTGTAATCCCAGCACTTTGGGAGGCTCAGGTGAGAGGATCACCCGAGGCCAAGAGCTCCAGAGCAGCCTGGGCAACACAGTGAGACTATCTCTGTATCAGGAAATAAGCAAACAACAAAGAAGAGTTACTATCTAAAGACCTGGAGTCCATAGAATGTCTGGGTTAAGATAAGGGGTTTTGATTGACAAGCCTAAGGTAAAAAAAAAAAAAAATCAAAATGAAAAAGTCAAAATAGAAAAAAAGATAAGGGATTGTGGAGATCCAGGATTTTGTTTTTTGTTTTTTTGAGATGGAGTTTCATTCTTGTTGCCCAGGCTGAAGTGCAATGGTGCGATCTCGGCTCACTACAACTTCTGCCTCCCAGATTTAAGCGATTCTCCTGCCTCAGCCTCCCAAGTAGCTGGGATTACAGGCACCTGCCACCATGCCCAGTTTTTTTTTTTGTATTTTCAGTAGAAATGGGGTTTCACCACGTTGGCGAGGCTGGTCTCAAACTCCTGACCTCAGCTGATCCAACCGCCTTAGACTACCAAAATGCTGGGATTACAGGTGTGAGCCATCACGCCCATCCAGAAACCAAGGTTTTATCATGTAGATGCAGCCTCTAGGTAGCAGGCCTCAGAGCTCTTATCAGACCTAAAAAGGTGCCAGACTTGGTTAATTCCCTTGTGGGGCAGGGAAAACACCTGGAAAGGAACAGGGCTTTCCTACAGACTGTAGGTTTTCCTATACTAGATACAGCTTTGCAGGGCCATTTAAAAATATGTCAAAGAAATATATTTTGGGATTAAATAATTCAATTTTTTTTAGGGCCTGCTGTCTGTCATGTGACGCTGTACTAGAGTCAGGCTGGCATTTGATGTCAAAAATGAAAGTCTACAAAAGCTAGAAAAAGTCTGTTCTGGCAGTCTTAAGATCTCTTGTTTTCATGTGAATGCTGTTCAGCCGGGCCTGAATTCCAAAGGGAGGAGGGTATAATGAGGCATGTCTGTCTCACCCCCTAACTAAACCCCCTACCCCCACTTCCATCTAGATGATTAGGAAACTAGATTTTCAGGTTTACTTTGGAATGCCCTTGGCCAAGGTGGGGAGGGGGTGTCCATTAGTCAATTGTGGGGTTTAGAATTTTATTTTTGGTTTACAAAAAGAACAGAATATTTCAGGCTGAAGCATAAGAAAGAGCACTGCAGACATGAAAGGGCTTAGTTTTAGGAGAATGCTTAGGCAGACATGAAAGGGCTTAGTTTTAGGAGAATGCTCAGATGGAGTAAAGGATGTCTTGAAGGGTAGCACATTGTTATTGGTGTTGTAATAAGTTATCGCAAACTTAAGACACAGATTATTTTACAGTTCTGTTGGTCGGAAGTCCAACACTGATAGCAAGAGGATAAAATCAAGGTGTCGTCAGAGCTGAGTTCCATTAGAATGGCTTTGGGGGTATGTTTCCTTAGGTTCCAGCTTCTGGAGGTCACCCGCAATGCTGCAGGCTCCCTTCCTTTATATTGAAAGGCAACAATGTTGTATCTCTAATCATTCTTCATATTCACTTGTCATTCTTGACTCTCTTTTGCAGTTTTGAAGGCCATTGTGATTACAATCTGCCCACTGGAACAATCCAGGATAATCATTTTTTTTTTTTTTTGAGACAGGGTCTTGCCCTGTCACCCAGGGTAGAGTGCAGTGGAGATACCCAGCTCACTACAACCTAAGCCTTCCTGGTTAAAGCGATTCCAGGATAATCTATTTCAACACCAGGTAATTAACAACCTTAATTCTCCTTTGCTATGCAAGCTAACACATTCACAGCTTCTGATGTTTAGGCTGTGGACATCTTTGAGGTGCCATTATTCTGCCTGCAATAGGTAATAATAAGGAGGAGCTAATATTAAGAGGAAAAGAGGCTCAAAGAGGAAAGGGTGTGAATGCACTAAGGGCCATGGGGAGCCAGTGCAGGTTTCAGAGGCTTGCAAATTCTTATTTTTTTAAAGTAAGCTTTGGTTACAGCTGAGAAAACTGAACAGGCATAATTGGGGAGCAACATTAGGAGGCCACAATTAGAGTTGAGATAAGTAGGTATAAGCTAGAGAGGGCAGAGCTAAATCGTTTTCTTTGATCCAAAGCTGCCTATGCCCTTTTGTAAGTGTTTTCCAACAAAATTCATGAGACCATTCCACAGGATCTCAGCAAGCGCAGTTTCTGATAACTTGGCCGAATTTGTTTAGTAGGTGCTGCAACCGAGGGCTTAAATCACTCACTTAAACTTAACAGGGGAAGACCAGAATAGTGGCAAAGCCCCAGTTAACAAGGCTGAGGCCTGCAGAGACCTAGGCACCGAATGTTTGTTTGCATTGTTTTTTTTTTTTTTGAGGCAGTCTTCCTCTGTCTCCCAAGCACAACCTCTACCTCCCGGGTTTGAGCGATTCTCCTGTCTCAGCCTCCTAAGTAGCTGGGATTACAGATGTGTGCCACCACGCCCAGCTAATTTTTGGCATTTTTAGTAGAGACAGGGGTATTCACCATGTTGGTCAGGTTGGTCTCGAACTCTTTTTTTTTTTTGAGACGGAGTTTCGCTCTTGTTACCCAGGCTGGAGTGCAATGGCGCGATCTCGGCTCACCGCAACCTCCGCCTCCTGGGTTCAGGCAATTCTCCTGCCTCAGCCTCCTGAGTAGCTGGGATTACAGGCACGCACCACCATGCCCAGCTAATTTTTGTATTTTTAGTAGAGACGGGGTTTCACCGTGTTGACCAGGATGGTCTCGATCTCTTGACCTAGTGATCCACCCGCCTCAGCCTCCCAAAGTGCTGGGATTACAGGCGTGAGCCACCGCGTCCGGCTGGTCTCGAACTCTTGAGCTCGAAATCCGCCCGCCTCGGCCTCCCAGAGTGCTGGGATTACAGGAGTGAGCCACTGCGCCTGGCGGCACTGAATTTTTTAATGGTCCAAATCGCAGGGAAAGCGCGCATTCCCTGTTCTTAAGGTTTTCCTTAAACACGGAGACAATACTAAAAAGCTGTGCCACGTTAGGGCTGGAAGTCCTGTTTTCTCCCTAGCCTCATGAACAAAGCCTGACAGCTCGCCCGCGTCCAACAAGGACAACGCTCTTCCGGTCTTCGTGACCCTGGGGAGCAGCCCAAACCCGCCACCGTCCTCTCCCAGCTCCCACCAATCGGGTCGCAGGGAGCCCCGCACTGCTGAGTCCGCCGACACTGCGTCCCGGGCCAGACGACGATGTCAGCATGGGGTCCTCACAGCGCCATGGAGTAGAGGCTACTCTCGAGCACGTGACCGGAGCCTCCGTCACTTCCGGGTGCGACAGTAGCTTCCGTCCGCTGAGACGCTAGCGTCATTAGGTGCCTCCTCTTTGCTTCTGACGGGCTACACGTCTTCTTCCCTTTCCCTCTGTTCCCAGCTGGAGGGATATGAGTGTCCCTGGACCGTCGTCCCCGGTCGGGGCCCTGACACGGCCACCCGACAGTCTGGAGGGCGGGGAGCCAACGCCGGGTACGTACTGTCGGGCGGGACTCGCGGCCTGGGCTGGGTGTGAGGGGCCGGGACCTGAGTGGGTAGGACTCCGGAGAAACCCTGGGGGAGTAAGCGCCTTTTGGCAGCTGCGGTCCCCGGGCTCTGCCCCTAGTGCAGAAGTGGGGAACCGCGCTGGCCCCTCTGCCCAGCGGAATGGGCGGAACTGAAGTCCCGCAGGGAAGCGGTGTATTGGGGTGCGATTGGAGGCGGTTGATGGTGAAGCCATTAGAAGTTTGTGTGTTGACTGCAATACGGTAGTGATGGGGGATGCATTTACCGGAAAGATGATCAGTTTAGAATTCAGAGAGGTGACATATCCTATAATACTGATCACTCACTCATGAAATTCTGGTCAGCTTGGTGGTATTACCTCATCCCTATTCCTGCAGCAGTCTTTTTCAATAGAGTCCCTGGAGAGATTTAAACTCTAATGCCCTAAGGCATCAACTGAATGGAATTAACTTGCTCAGCACCCAAAATGGTACTATTGATGTACCATCCTTGAGAGAACTGAGACAATGGTCACTTAGAGCATTTTCTGTGTTCTGTGGCTCAGATGAGGCTCTAGATGAGAAAGGCTGCAGGGCTTTGGATGTGCTTTTTGTTTTACTTTCTGTTTCAGAAGTACAGGGGTTACCGCCAAATAGTGCTCTGAGCACTTTCCTGTCCATGCTCAACGATCTCTTCACACTTTCATAAGTCGTTTCTATAAATATGACTTTCTTGTATGTATTCCCAACTTGGGCCCCTCTCTTAATTCTTGTTTGCTTCTCCATCTGCTAGCTGGATACTTTGACGTGATTGTTTTGCACTAATCTCACATAAGGCATGTACATAAATGAAAACATGTCTCATCCTGTTAATGGTGGTAGGTCACTCTGACTTAAAACTGAAATTTCTCTGGACTTTTTCCTTTTTCCCTCCTTCCACCTCTAGGGGATTCTCTTATACAATTTCCATCTCCTTGTGATTTCAGCCTTAAAACAGCCGTTGAAAGGCTAGTCCACCTCCACACTCTTACCCTTTCAAGGCATCTGCCCCACTGCTGTCACATCACTGTCCCAAGTTAAAGCTTCAGTCATGTCATTCCTGTGCTCAGAAACCTTAAATAGCTCCTCACTACTTATTAGCAAACGTCCAAACCATTCACTTGGCACTCAGAGGCCCTTACTGGCCTTCCACATGGTCTTACAGCTCACTGTTGCTATGCTACATATGCCCCATGCCTCTCCGAAGAGTCCTACACTGTCTTCCAGCCTTTCCCCGTGCTGCTTTCTTTATCCATATTGCATCCATTCTACTCCTGCTGTAGATTTCTTCCCCATTTGGAAATAGTCCTCACAGATTGTTGGTGGGAGTACAAATTGGTGCCAGTTTCTTAGGAGGGCAGTTTGGCAGTGTCTGTTTAAAAAAATGCGTAAACTGTTTGTCCCAACAATCTACTTCTAAGAAATTTTTCTACAGAAAGTGACACAAATAAACCGATAAGCAAGGAAGCTCACTGCAGCATTGTTTGAAATAGCAAAAAGTGAAAATATCCTAAATAACCCATCCGTGGGGGACTGGTTAAACAAACTATAGTAGAATTCTACTTTGTTAAAAACAATGTAGTAGATCCCTATATGTTGGTATGAAAAGATACCTAAGATACATATTTTAAAAGTTGCAGAATGATATGAGTAGTAGTTTATTTGTGATAAAAACAGTATATGCATAGGTATGCAAAGACAATTTCTGAAAGGCTCTGTGAAAAACTCCAGAGTAACTCCTGTAGTTAGGGCGTGAGAAGGAGTATTTTTACTTTACAATTTGTGCCTCCTTCTGTAGTGTTTTAAGCTTTTACAGTAACACTCAAATAGACAAAAAGAAATGAAATCTCCATCCATTCTTTGAGCTTTAGCTCAATGCCCACACTTCTTTAGGAATTTTTCCTAGACTTCCCTAGTGAAAGTTTTTCTCCCCTGAATTTCCATGACATTTTCTGTTTCTCCCGTGGCAGAAACAGAAAATGTTGTGGAAATAACCTTCATATTATATTCTGTGATTCCTCATATTGTGCCCTTCCAGGGAAGGGGACTTGCCTTATTTTTTGTCGTAACCTCAGAACCTGGTACATAATACAGATGTTCAGCAAACCTTTCTTGTCTGAATAGAGTAAGGACCCTCCCTTTCTTCTTTACTCTCCCACAATAAAGCTCCTTGAACTTAGTAATTACATATTTATAAAAACATGAGTAACTTCTTAACTATTGGAAGCAGAGGCTAAAAGAGGGAGAGAGAAAAAAAAAACCAAAAACAAAAACATGAGTAATTGAGACTTATCCAATAATTAATCAGACCACTGGGGCAGGAGGAGGGTTTGTGAGTTAAAATGTATGTATGTGTTGTAAGTGAAGTGAATTAATTGTTATTTCTTAAAGTCAAAATGCCCTTTTTTGGGGTGTTCCTATCATAAAACAGAAAAAATTGTTTTCCATGTTTATTAATACTTAAAGTTGCTGATTGCATTGTTATTGTAATCAAGCCTTAAGCAATGGCATAATTGATGGATATAATTTGTTCACTTCCTATTCAGTTGGTACATTAATATCCTTAAGTGCTTCACTTTTCTCTCTCTCTATATATATATATATTTTTCGTTTTGTATTTTATTTTATACATGGAGTGCTTCAGTTTCTAGTTAACTCTTGCCTGTTTGAATGTTGCCTTGCAACTGAGAAGTCCAAAGTTTGTTCATATATTTCTTAGGGTTAAAATAAAAATTATGTAATTTTATTTGATTTTCAAAAAGCTTATTTCGAATATAATAGCATGTTGTTTTCCTCAATCTTTTTTTTTTTTTTTTTTTT